GTAGACATAACAACCAGGGTGCCAAATGGGGAAAAGTGTTTGAGCCAAATCTTCTAGCTTTGCAGCACTGAAAGGTCATACAAAAGCCAGACCCTGCTAGAAAGACCTCAAAACCCAACAGCCCAACTTTGGAGTATGCCAAGTTTAACTGCTGGCAGCATCTCTTGCATTTGCAGTTTTAAATCCTAAGTTGCATAGGATGTTTCTATGCCCGAGTCTTTTCAAGTCCGAGCCTAGGTGTTCCTAGCTTAGCTGATGGCATTGAATGCAATGACACTGTATTGCACAAACTGGAATGTGCAAAGTAATGCAATATCCCTGACACTTAGGATTGTATTTTCCTATTTCTGCTCCTGTGGTTTTATCACATGGGTTTTTTCATGCATAATTGACACCCCAAGTCATAGATGTATACCCACACCCAATTCTTCTCAACATCTTCCCAAATAAAACAAGTTCTCCACATCCCACTCAGCAGATGTTTTAACAACAGAAGACAGAGCCAAAAAGATCTAGAAGTGAGGTGCCAAGCCAAGGGAACTAGTAGCTGCAGTATTTGCTTTCGGCAGTAAGCAGCACAAACATCATTTGTCTAGTAGTAGCACAATGCTACAGAAGGTACAGAAGACTCTGAGAAGTCCCAAAGCTTTTCCTGGCACTGTCAGAGAAGCTTGGTGTTCTGTAGGGCTCTTGACTTTCCTTAAACACTACATAACCTCCCTGTCTCAGAGCTCAAGTGACCCAACAACCATTTTACCTCCTCAGCACTTGGTGACATTCACATTCACATTAACCCTTGTTTTCTCACACAGTGTGAGAAAATACTAGCCCTTGTTTGTTTTCCTACCCATGGTACATTTTCTTAGTGAGACTCGTTCTTGAAAACACTGGCACAGCCCATGCATCCCACAGTAGATAATGTCCTTAGAGGTCACAGGGGCAGCATTGGTACCCCAATTCCAGAAAACATACTCACTTCCAAAGTTCTTTAGCCTTTCTCCTGCACCTTCAACGTGCACTTCCCAGCAGCATTTCCTAGTTCTCCCTCCCAAAAGTTCTGTCTTCACAGAAGGTGCATTATCTTCCTGAACCGTCTGTCCCTGACCTGTGCAGCAAAGTCCTCTGGTCTTGGCATTCCACAGCCCTGAACCTGTGAAGTCAGAGTGCTGGTTCAAGACAAGTGCTCAGCCTCCCCTGCCACTATGTCCCCCTGCTGTGAGGGGTCTCATGACCATCTCTTGAGTTTGCCCCACGTACTGACCTAGATCCTACTGGGAGGTCACCATGTGTCTCACAACTTCATGTGCAACAGCTTTCTCACAGCAAACCGGATAAATGGTTCTAAAAATTTGGGATGCACCAAAGTAGTATGGCCATTCATGGTATACACCAGTGCTTCAAATACAAAACTCAGTTTACTAATATGAAATCCCTGTTCTCCAGGATTTGAGCTGCAAAAATGACATTGTTAGCTGCTAGAGCCTTCCCATTTTTTGGGAGAGCCACTAACCAGCAACACTAAATAGCTTTTTAACTCCTGAAAAACATTGGCTTTTAACTACTCCATTGATGCATTCATAGACACACGGTTATATTGCCCAGGCCATTGGAGCTCCCCTGCTTCTCCCACTCAGCAGCTCGGCCAATGCAGTTTGCAGTTCGCTGCTGTGGCCTTGCTAGTTAACATTCAAAGGGCTAACCATTAGCGAGCCTCACACACAGCAGTAATGCTTAGCCCCTGTGCACTGGGGAGAGGCTGCTTGGGAGTACAGGGTTAGCCTACTGGCTGAGCAGCAATTATATTCAGGAGCAATGACCCTTTTGAAAAAATGAGTGATTTCCTTTGCTCCCAGGTCTTCAAAAGGGAGGTCTGGCAGTTCAAGAGATGACTAAAGAGGGATATATCATCCATACCTATAACTATCTTTACATCTTGTTCAATGAGTTGTCAAGCCAGGACTTCATTGTCCTCTGAAAGCCACTCTCTAGATCAAAACAAACCTTGTTCTTTCGAATTCTTACAGCCATAAATGTCTGATTTTGGAGGGACCTTGTAAGCTTATGTAAGCTGAGTGCCAAGAAAGCTCATGTCTGGAGATGGATCTGCAGCTATTGCATTCATTAATTTTTAATCATACTCAAATCACCTGCAAATCTCCAGGTACTCTATGGATACAAAAAGTGTCAACAATTCCTAGTGCCCATTACCTGCTTTGTGACAGTTTTTCACCTTTCATACTGACCGAGCTTTGAATGAAAACACCGCATTAAAGTATACACAGAAGTGTCACCTCCACATACTAGAAATGCCTATAATTTCTATAGGCATATATTTCACAGCTCTTTCTTCTCAATAAGTTAGCTTTTATATTTGCTATTACTGATAAAAAGCAAGTAACTGTCTCCCCCAAATCACTAGTTTAAAAAAATACGTAATTTATACTTGATTCTTCAAATTGTGATTTTTAAAATGCTGATTTTTCAGAGTTCATGATTTCTCTGAAGCCCTAGGGTTTAGGATTCTGTTACTGGATTAAAGAAAACAGACTCTTTCAATACAGGACTCTTAAAATACAAGAAACACAAAAGAAACAGAGCACAAGAAACAGAAAAGAGAAATATGAAAAGAGATAACTAATAAGGGAAGACTCACAGGAAGACTGTGAGACTTACTTACCCTGTTGGGACGCAGGTGTTTGTGGTTTCCATATTTTCACAGAATCTTCCCAGGAGAGGACTACAAAAAGTAAAAAAGTAGCAGTGACAACTAATGAGTCTCATTTCCATCCCGAAGTTTTTATCTTCTGCTGAAGCAAGTGCCCTTAGCAGTCTTAGCAGATTAGCAGTAAAGGTAGTGCAGGTAGTCCATTATCTGCTTTTGGCAGCATTTTGTGTTGTTAATACACTACTCATATAGCTGCAAGCAAACCTTTTCCTCCTGTGGATAAGCAGCAGTAAGAAGAAAATAGAAGTCCCAAAAGACATAGAGGATTAAAACACTATTAAGATTTATCCTTCATAAAAGGAGTCAAGAGTCATCAAACACAAAGTTGCAGAAACATAATTATGGTTAAGAAAAAGCATAGATTACCAGAAGCAGGAAGAGCATGGGATGCAAAGGATCACTGCATAACTTCCCTACATAGACTTTCCAAGAGTTCCCACCAGACATATGGTGTTGCTAGAGACAGGATATTAAGCCAGATGGATTTCTGATCTAATACATATTCCAATGTTGTCATCATTTGTGGTGAAATTTGACAATGTGCCCAACACAAAGCAAAGTGTGGACAGTCCTCAGTAAAGTATTTACGACAGAAAATTGCATGAAGGTGCAGTTTACTCTCTCTTTGGTACTAGCCTTTCTCATAGAGGCTTAAATATTTAGCTAGATGTAGACATTGGTGACAGTCTGAGTGAGGGATACCTTCCAGTGAAGTCAGGTATCAGCAGTCTTTATCTGCAGATCATATGTGGCACTGCAGTTGGCATCACTAGGTGGGAGACAAATATCACAACAAACACCTAAGTTGACTTGGCAGGTGGCAATACGGTTCAGTGTTAAGACTCGGTGGGGGTTTTTTGTCTCTTCACTGAAACTACCAAGAAATAAAAAGCCCAAAACATAGGACTGACTGTGGCAACTAGCTTCTTGGGACATGGAGCGCTGATTCTTTAAGGAAGTCCACTCCAAGCTGATTCTTTAAGGAAGTCATCTTCAATGTCTCAAGACTAGAACTAGATTTGGGTTGACAGCGTTGTGCTGGAAGTCTCCATGATGTATTGTCACAGCATTGCTCTCTGTTATTTATGGCTTGAATAAGCACTTGAATGCTGCTTCCACACTTCCACACTTCCAGGCAAGAACATTTCCCTCTGCACCCACAGTCCTTCTGGCACAGCATGCACTCTGGTCGGCTCCAGATGGAGGCACACCCTGCATTGCTTCTCCCATGATCATCCGCACCAGAACACCTCAAAAAACACGCAAGCTGCTCTGAAGACCGTGAGCTTCCTGGGAAGCAAATAAAGCATGACTACTTCAGCCTTAGCTTTATTTGGCTTCCTGTGCTCTGAAAGTTTGATCTTTTAGAGTCTGGTACCTTGCTGAAAGCTTTCCAATTACTGTGGTCTTGGCAACACTTGACCATCTCAAGGAACTGCTCAGCGTGGTAGAGGACACTGCCTGACACCTCCACTGCAATTTGAGAATTTCCCCTTGAGTCATTAAACGCTCCAAAGACAAACAGGGTACTTCAGAATCAGGGGTCTGTGAAACTTGTGAACATCCAAACTACTCAGGGCTTTAACACAGAAGGTGGAGCCCGTTGTGAAAAGGAAGGGGCACAGAACTGCAAAAAAGTGTCTGTGTGTGTATAGCCTGGTACTTGAGCTTACAGCTGGGGCCACGCTGAGGGGTATTCTTCCTTCTCACTGCCAGAGGAGACTTTTTGGTCCACAGCGCCTCAGTCCTTAGTTTCTCTGTGGAAAATTGCAGCAAAGACAGCAGTGGTCTGTGGTATGGTGTCTAGGCTTCTAGAAATGAAATGGTGGCAATATCTTTCGGCAGAAGACTAAAGGTCATCCTTAAGGAGTCAGTAAAAGAGATTCTGCCAAAACAAATCCAGACTGTGGGTCCTTCGTTGGCTACCCGGAGTCCCAGAAAGTGGATCCTAGCAAGCCTAGAGGCTCCTCATGACAGTGCCTGAAACATTGACTGGTTTAAAGGCAAATAATACAACTGTACACGTAGATCTGGGGGTTCGAGGTGACTTGAGGGAAACATTTAAAGAAAATCTTGAGGGCACACAAACAGACTAATCAGTCACCTGGTAAGACTTCAAACTTTTTCTGTGATGTGGAAAGCTGACTGCAGGAAAACATCAGAGGCAGGTCTATGAATGCTGAGAATTTTTGACAAATTGTTCCCACAATAAGACCAAGATACCAGATGTGAAGGAGGCAAATGACTCTGCTAATCTGTAATTTCATCTCCTCAGCTCCACCACCCATCCCAAGGGTTTCGGTTTGGGACTGTGCGAGAAAGCAGTGCAGAAGACTATGTGAGGCAAAGCTTCCCAGAGATGCATGAGTACATGCGACGGTACAATGTCCCTGCAACCCCGGATGGAGTAGCATATCTAAAGTAAGCCTCTGCATGCAACAGCAGATCTGGCCCCTTGAACAGAATGCAAAGCAGTGAGGCATTGATGGGTTTCCCACTCTCAGCGTCACTTATCCCACAAAACAGTCGTTGAAGAGAGTGTGGCAGATGATAGAGAAGAGAGCACGTAATCACCTGGAAGGAGTGATACTTGGAGAGCAAGCTAGCGTAGCACCAGCTGGAGTGTTTCCAGGGGATGCAGCGCTTCACACTAACTGCTAGGCTGCTGTCAAGCATGGGTAACGCATACATCCTGGCAGGTTTCTGTGCTTGGGAGCCCTTCATCAGGCCGTGAGAAACACTGAGAAAAAAACATCAGTCCAAGCAAAAGCTGTGAATGAGGTTCCTCAGCATCTTCAGCATTCTGGGAGGAGAGAAACTTTAAAGTATTTATCACTAAAATGAATAAAAGCAGCATTAGACTGGTAAAAAGTAATAAACACCAAATCTTGCTTTAGGGAATCATGTCATCACTGTGTTTCAGAGACATTTGTGCCTGACAGTCTGGGGTCACACAATTGTTTCACTCTGCCAGGAAACAGAAGAGGTGATAATAAGCCTGAAATAATTAATTCATTTTACACATAGAAGTTGCATAACAGATGGCCTGAGAATTTTGAACCAGAAGTTGTTTCTTGTTTACGTATTTTTCCCAGAGCCATCCTAATGATAATTAAGACACGTGGCAGTTCCTTTGGGTTAAACTGGAATCAATCCATCAAAATCAATGAAGTAATGTAACTTCACATCAGGAGAACACCTGGACCTCTAAAGTGACAAGAGTGGAGGGTGCAGTTCCTGGATCAGATGAGAACAGGCACTGCAACTGTTCTCTTATATCTTCATTTTATGCAAGCGTACTATTCATAAATGATTATGTTAGTAAAATTCAGTCCTCTGTGTTCATGAAGACTGAATGTAGAGAAAAGCTGATCTCAGTGAAGGAAATTAATTTACCTCATATTCAAGGAGAAAGGAGGAGATACACCTTTGTAGGAGTTATCCTCCTGCATTTTTGCACTAATGAGAAATCAGGACAGCACTAGTATTTTATCAAATTTTTTTTTCCAATAAAGCTTTGTGCTACCTTACAATTGAGTCAAAGTCTAACACTGTTGTGGTTTAATCTGGCTAGCAGCTAAAACAACCACACAGCTGTTCGCTCACTGCCCCTCTCTCAGTGGGATGAAGGAGAGAATTGAAAAGGAAAAAAGAACCATAAACAACTTTTGATAAAGATAGTTTAACAGGACAGAAAAGGAAAATGATAATAATGATGATGATGACAATAATAATAATAACACCACCACCAATAATAATAGTATATACAAATCAAGTGATGAACAGCACAATTTCTCACCACCTGAAGTCGATGCTCCGCAACACCCCAAGCTATCCTGCCTCCCGGCCAACCCCCCAGTTATATACTGAGCATGTCGTCATATCGTATGGAATATCCCTTTGGTCAGTTGGGGTCAGCTGTCCCAGCTGTGTCCCCTCCCAGCTTCTTGTGCACCCCCAGCCTACTCACTGGGGTATAGTGCTAAACACAGCACTATACCAGCTGCTAGGAAAAAAATTAACTCTACCCCTGCCAAAATCAGGACAAACATATTGTAGTATTTTCCATCTTTCAGATCAGTAGTACTTCATGAGAGCAAAATAAGTCCTACCCCTGCTGCTCTACTCTAGATGCACAAAGTTTGTATTTCATGCACAATTCCTTTCTTCAAAACAAAAATCAATTTTGCACTTAAAATAGAAGCTCCTGGTCTATGTTTTCATTCAGTAATCTTCCAAAGAACTGCATAGATAAACATCCAGTGGCCATCACTGAGTCACAGACTGTGAAGTGATTCTGTTTCTGACTTTGATGTTGAATACAGACATGATCCAGAGAAACTCGATGCCTTCATCATGGATAAAGCACTCTTAGATTACGAAGTATCAATAGATGCCGACTGCAAGCTTCTAACTGTGGGAAAACCCTTTGCCATTGAAGGTAATAATCAGTTTTACAACATACTGATGTATTTCTCATGTGTTGCATTTGCTTTATTGTGATTTGGTATTCTTCATGGAAGTATGCAGGTGAAACTGTGGACCCCTTGAAGATTATAGCAGAATTCTTGGTCATTAAGCAGAACCAAGGTTTCACCCTTTTTTGTGGTTTTTGAACTTTCAGATCACTTGTGCCATCTGTGGCCATGATCTATATAGGAATTATTCAAAGTGCTGAGACAGTCCATCTCCAAACAAGTAAGTGGCACCATCCATTTCACTGCTTACAGTGAAATAAAGTAGTTCCTGAGGTGAGGCTTGCTTTTCGTAGGCTCACTTTCATTACACATGCTCAAAACTCAGTGGAACAGGTTCAAAATGCCCTGGTGTATTAGCAAGGACAGATTGGAAGGCAGCCTGGAAGCAAGGCTTGTCTGCAGCTGCCTCCAGCACGGGTGAACACATTATCAGCTATTAGACTTCAGGAATCATTTTTGTGATGGATGGCCAATGAAAATGATTGAAGCTGCCTCTTTCCTCCCTTGCAAGGGCGATCACTCTGGCCGCTCCCATTGCACATTAAAACAACCTCCTTCAGAAATGTTCAAACCTGATTGAAGAAGGCAATATGCTAAATGCAGGCCAGAAGAAGCTGAGCATTTTAATCATTTCAGCTAAAAGTCACCAGCACTAGGCATTTTGTAGAACGCTCCTTTTTGCTATACCTCATCAGTGTCTCCCTTTTGAATTCACACCAGAGGCCTGAAAGCAATCCATTTTCTTCTTTTCTGTTTGTTATCGAGGAGGATAAATGCACAGAGAGCTGTTCAGGCAGTAGCAGTATTTGTGTGTGTGCGTGTGCAACCTGATAAATCTTCCATTTCAGAAAGGTCAACTCTACTGAAGTAAACCATCAGCTTCCACAGCTTTGAATCAAGTAAAGCAATTTTCAATACAGAAAAAACAAATAACCCCCAAAGTATATGTTTTTACATAACTAGACTGCATATCACCTAATTACAAAACACTTAAACATGCTGGAAATGTGGTATTCATGAACACCAGCTATGCCTTCTCTAAAACCATTCCTTCGATGTTAGCAAATATATTCAGGTGGAAATACAGGCACAATGTATGAAAATCAGCAGCAAGAGAGACTATTGTGTTGCAGGTACACATATCACCATACCACTCTGCATCGTTAAAAAGCAAATCACTGTGATGGCAAATTTACCACTCATGTACATTTATGGAGCATTTTTTTGTTTCTTCCTGTGTTGTTGTTTGTTGTGGTTTTTTTTTTAAAGGAGACAGTCTGAAATTCTGAATTCTGACCTGAAAAACAAAAATCCACAGTGGACTAGAAAGATAACTCTGCAGGCAATTGGCAGGACATCTCTGCATGTAACTGCATGTCTTCCAGGCATGAATTGTATTTGTTTTTCTAAAGCCAAAACCCAGATTCTGCAAATTGAAATACTTTATTTGGAGTTACTGTATCCATTTTCACTTATGCTAAATCCTTTACCAGCACTTTAATGTGGTAAAAGACCACACAGTGGCTAAAAACTGTATCTATTACTATCTGGAACTCCATATTACTGTCAGAGCAGAACTGCACAAATGGAAAACATACCCCCTGGGCTTTAAATTGCTGTGTGACAACAATACATACCGCTCCCATATACCTTTACACGCACACAGCTTCTTATAAGAAAATACGTAGGAAGAAGAGAATCTGTCACATCTGACACCACAATCACATCCACTAATCTAAAACTGTAAAGGGATCACAGAATGGTTTACTTGACATTAAATCCCTTTTGCACTGGTAAAAAAAGAAGAACCCATGGCAAGGGCATGCAAAAGGCCATGTTTCTAGAGATAAGACAGATTTATTCACCCATCTGTACCTCCATCTTAAATTTTGGAACCTCCAATTTTACATACTACTTTTGTGGCCTTAATAATTTTCAATTTGCATATCTTGTTTGTATTGGGCTACTTTATTTTGCACAGCAAAACATTTCATCTCAGCATTCTCAGTCCATGGTAAGCCAGCATCCAGGTTTGATCTGGCTTGCTGAAACAGAATGCCAACTTGATCTGTCATGCTGGTAGTTGATAGCTGAAATGAACATATTTTAGCAAAAAGCAAACAGGGAAGAGAGAGATGATCGTATTGATTTTCCTTCTAGGATATGGTATTGGTCTTCCCCCCAACTCTCCACTTACTTCAAACATCTCTGAACTGATCAGCCAGTACAAGTCCCATGGTTTCATGGATGTTCTGCATGACAAATGGTACAAGGTTGTTCCATGTGGGAAAAGAAGCTTTGCTGTCACAGAGGTAAGCCATGAACTTGGGTCACATAAATGAGGATTGGCACAAGTTGCCAACTATTTCCGCTTGTTCACAATGTGCAGTAGATGACAGAGATGAGCTGCAGCTGAAGGGAAGCATTAGGCTTCAAAAGTAAGAGATGCTAAGCCCAGCAGTGTTCAGATCAGAGCACAAAAGACAAACATTAGTAAGACTGTGCTGCTAAGTTAGGCATGCAGTGCATGAATCAGAAAGCACTTCTGGAGGCAAACAGAACGTTGCATTAAAAAAAGTGATCTGGCACACTGCACAACAAATTTATCTGATTCCACTCAATTATGTGCATCACCATCTACAGGATCTGTCGGTGATTCTGGACCATCTTAATGGGAGTGATACCTAAAATAGCTAACACAGAGACCACCAAGAGCAAAAGAAGAGGAGAGAGTGGGAATTTAGTATATTCCAAATTTTAAATATAACACTGACCACTTCCTAATATGGGTGGCAGCTACTGGTACCAAAGATAGGATTTCAGCCTAGAAACGGTCCACTAAGATACCATGCTAAGAACAGAAGAGAAGCAGGTCTCATGTCTAAGTAGAACTACAGGAAATGGAAGTAAATCTCCATGGGTTTACGTCCTGGTATCAAATCAGAGGAGTGATGCCAGCTCATGACTCCTGAAGACGTAGGCCATTATGAGAAAAAGACTCCTTTTATCAGAATAGCAGTTTTTCATCAAGTTCCCTAGACTGTCAAGTAAAAAAAGATTAAGTACTGAGGAATCACAAGATCCAGCATGCCTGAAGCTTAGAGTATACAATTTTATCTCAAGGTGTCCCAAAAGAATTAGGTTACATGTTCTCAGTGGTATAAGACACGTAGCTGCAAGTATGCTATCTCCTCCGCAGAGTATTCAGCCCAATATCAAACCAACTCTGTGTTCTTTGAGGAAGTGGTAGCATGGCCATTCTCCCCTAAAAGAGAAGCCCAGTTTCCTAGGGCTCTGACTCCTGCCCTTCTGTAGTCACCTGAGCATTTTGTCTGCAAACCTCTCACTGCTGACTAAATCACTAGAAAACTAGCATTTTTTTAGAGATTAGACCAAAAAACCCCACCAACTTTGACTGCTTTAATATATAGATTGTTGGGGTTTTTCTGCATCATTTATTACTTTTTTAACTTTTCATTAAGATTGTGTCAGTATGAAATTAATTATATTTTAACATCACACATTCATAGAAGAAAATTAAATTTATTTTTATTCAACTTGTTCAATACCACTTTTTTCTTTTTTTATGTGATTAATTCAACACAAGGAAGCACAGTTAAACAAAAGTGTGTATTCATTGCTATTTCTCATCTGGCTTATCTGAAGATTATATTATCATCTAACAAGACAGGTATCTGGGGAATTGTCTTTTTAATGTAGCTGACATATCTGTTCCTGACAAGCACTTCATTCAATGACCTTTTGTTACTCTACATTTTAACACAATCTTTTGAATTAAACCTCAGGAAAATTACCAGACAGTAATGGTTATAATTACCACAACTGTCTTAAAACTGAAAACTCTTGTAGCACTGAGGAATTACCTTCTTAGTAATTTCTCAGTGATGAGACATAAGGAGCTTTCTCTGATCATGAGAATCTTGCTCCAGTAGCTGTGTCCAGGGCTGTATTCTCTGTATTCCTAGAGAAATAGCTAAGACACGGAATCAATTCTAAACGTCTTCCAGTTAAAAAAGTATGGGTTTATTTAGTGTTGGTTTTCTCTCAGAATATATATTTCCTCCATTAATCCAGTGTTCTCTAGAGAGGGATGCATACAGCCCCTGGGGGTGCCTGAGACAATCCACTGGGTTGCAGGAATAAAACTTCAGGAATACATGCATACATATGTATATAAATTATAAATGAGTATACATATATGGGGGTGCATGCTCAAGAAGTTACTGATAGAGGAGCACAAACAAAAAAAGTTTGGAGACCAATGCTGTAAGCCTTAGCATCTCAAGACTGTCTCTAGAAACAGGAATTTTTTTTCTGCCATATCAAATACAGTAATAGAGAAAATAAGCCCTGGCTCGGCAAACTGCAGAAGGCATATTATAAAACCAATTGGATTTGTCTTTTTGTGAAGAAAAGCAATCATGAGCAAAGATAGAATAAACCTTGCATTCAAACTGAAGAGAAAAAAATCTGATAGGCTGCATGTACTTTTTACAGTTACTCTTCTGAAAACCCTTTGCAATTAAAAAATACAAGAAAAGACCATACCATTTCCTGCACAGCTATTGCTAGTACATTATCTCTGAGGCAAACACAGTTCTTTCACTACCCTAGATTTTCATTGACTCCTTCATATTCAGTGATAGAATACTGAGAGTGACTGGTTTCCAGGTAAGCCTTAAACTTCTCTGTGTTCATGGCATGAAGAAACAATGACATGGTTGAAGTACTGAAAGATTCTTCAAGGCCTGCCAAGAAAGGGAGAGAAGATGAGAAAGAAGCTGCTCCAGTTTGAAAAAAATTTCTGATTTTGTCCTGTGAATAGTCCCATGGACTTCCTTTTTTCTCAGTGTTGAATAGGTTTTAAGCATGGGGTTTTAAGGGAGGTTTTAAGCACGGGGTCACAGCTGGAAGATATCCTGTGCTGTGAAGTAATTGAGTATTTCAAGTGTAACCTCTATGTGATGGCCAGAAAGGAAGGCAGGTCCAGCTGCTCTGGGGCTGGTTATCTGACTGTAGTCCTTATTTGATCTCCAATTGTGCTAACCAAACATGCATAACTGAGTTTTTCTCCAGAGGCCAAGGTCCAACAAGCTGGTTCAGGTAACTGAACTGAAGGACTCTAAAAAGTCACTCAAAGAGTTTGTCTTTGAACTAATCCTCATGTACTCAAAGGCCTTACGCAATCAGAAAGAGTGAGAAGAAACAAAAGACCATTTGTAGGTCTGTGCTGTTGTGGGGTAAGCTCTGCTAAGACCAGACTTTCCCTTTCCTGAATTATTCTACGTTGGCTGCATCTCCCATGAGCATCCTCTCCTCTTCATCCACTCCTTTTGGCCAAGAACTGGCAGATTTTAGAAGCTACAATTTCAGTGGACACTCTCTAAAACATAGCTTTACGTCATTACGTCAAGAAGCATGGGAATTATTCTTGGTCTTATCTTTATTCCAGTTTGTATCCTTTGCTCCTGTACAGCCCAGAAATCTGTTATTTAACTCCCTGCCATCAGTCACGGGAACATTCAACAGATTCACTGAAGGGTGGACAACGTTCAACACAGAAGCAGATAATTCATTTTCAAAAAGTCTCAGCTTCTAAGCAGGTAGTCATTCACATGGATTATATACCAAACTAAGACCCAGCAATTGCCTTTTGATAGCTAGAGTAAGGCTTTATATTTTTCTATGTCTTTTTGATAAATTTTGTCTGTGACACACTGCACCTCTTGATCAAGAGTAATGACCCACAAATGGGAATAAGCATAGGTGAAATATTGATCAGGGCAGCCTTTGAATGGATGAAATATCCATCTTCCTTTTTTGTCATTACCTCTTTAGGCTGTACCTGATTCTTATCTACCGGCCATTCCTGCTCACTGAGGTTAATTTTTCTTTAGATTTGTTTTAAGATTCATCTTTCTACTCATCATTTTATTCTAATCTTACACTGGAAAATTATATTTCCTGTGGCAGAACTCACTGCTAGCTCTTTCCATTTCTCTCTATCTGGCAGCACTTTGCTCATTCTAAATTGCATTTGAAAACAAAGTTGTCTTGGAAAGGCATGATTCAGACTGAGACTGGAAAATTTGCAGTGACTCCTCAAGCTCAGAAACCAAATAAAGATGAGTTTGAAAGTGCAGAGGCCCACTTGACCACAATGCTTGACTCCACCATTTTGTATGAAACTCTTCAGCAAAAGCACTTGCCCAAGGTATCTTACTCTGGCCAGCACCTATTGGATCATTCATGGGGGATGCAGCTAACTCAAACTTGGAACAAATTACTGCAATGAATTGCATCTTACCCTCTCCACCACAAGTAATTGTTGGTAGCAGTGGCTGTTCATATTGATTGCCAGTTACTAGCAATATCCCTTGAGTACTCTTGATTTAAAATTGTCATACTCTAGTCTCAAAGGAATTTCTTTGTTGTAAATTTGCTAAGTCTTTACATAAGGCAGAGCATAGGTCAGGAGGGAGGTGGGATTGGCAGAGTTATATTTGCACATATTACATCTGGACATAATCAATGTCATTCATTTTCAATTTGAATACAATACACTTAGCCCTTCCTCTACCCTGCTGTTATTAATGCCACTTCAGC